ACAGTACTGTTTTCACAAAAAAAGCCCTGATGGCTAAAATGGCGATTGGGGCTTTTTTTGCGCAAAAGCGTGTCTAGATTGACACGGACGCTTTTCCACAAAAAGAGCTTTTGCAGAAAAGCGTCCGTGCCAATCTAGACGATCTTTTCGGAAAATGCTTTCCCGTTAAAAGCATTTCCAGAAAATCATGCCAGTCTAGACGTAGCCACAGTGTACACACTGCAAGCGTGTTCTTTTAACAGTAACTTGACAGTAAATTGAAAGAACAGAGTTTTTGCACAATTGATATTTCCTCTTTCTACAAGGAGAAAGTCTTTTTGCAAAAGAGCTCTTTTGCAAAAAGGCATGTGTGGACGGGGAGAGAGTTTTTTTGCACAAGAAGAGGGAAGAGGAAAAAGCACAGATGCCTTGGTGGCCATTCTGTGTATAGCAATCTGGGCTTACTTTCGAGACAGCATCCATGCAGTCTGGACACTCTTTGCAAAAGCGCGTCGCTTTTTCAATGCACTTTTGCAGTGTGGACGCACTCTTGAACAAGAAGCTTTTGCGGAAGGCAGCTCCCCCACTCTTTACATGGTTCTTCCCTTGGCTCTTTACATGGCCACGGAGCTTTCTCCCCATTGGTCTTCCATCCACCCCCTTCACTCAGCACTCACTGCTTGGTGCTGCTGGGGAGGGAGTCCCGACTCCCACCCTGCAGCTGCACTCTCCTTCCTGCCCAGACTTCACACCTCTACCTGCATCCCATCTCTTGCCTGGACCCTACCCCAGCCGGCTCCTGCACCCTACCTTCCATCCAGACCCCCACCCCTAGCCCGTTCCTGCACCCCATCTCCTGCACAGACCCCTACCCCAGCCTGCTCCTGCACTCCACCTTCCACCCAAATGCCCGCTTCTGCACTCAACCTCCCACCCCAGACCCTGCACCCCACCCCTATCTCACTCCTGCACACTGAACCCTTCATTTTTGGCCCCACCTCAGATCCTAGGGGGCCCCATAAATTCTACTTGTCCTGGGCCCCCTGAATCTCTGCTTCCCCCCCCCATAGAGCTGGAGTGTGAGGGGAGTGAGGTATCTCAAATAGGGACCACACCATTGAGAGATTTTTTCCCTCTAACTTTTGTGTGGCCCCAGACCGATTTTCCTGTGGGACAGTGGTCGCTGACCCAATAAAGCAGTGGTCCCCAACCTTTTGGGGCTGCCGGGCACCCGGGGGCAGGGGCCATGCATGCACAGCGCGCCCAGGGCAAGGGCCGCGCATGCGCCGGGTGCCCAGGGTGCAAGAATGGCTTTGGCCGGCCCTGGTCACTAGGCAGATGCACATAAATGCCCCGTCAGGCGCCATGGTGCCCGTGGGCACCACGTTGGGGACCACTGCAATAAAGGTTCCCACCCCTGCTGTAAATAAAGACAATGTTGAAACCTTTTGTTTTGGGCATAAATTAATATTTTACTTTATTTAAAATGAAGTTTGCTACACTAACATGAGAAGGTTAAAGTACTTAACGATTCTGTTTAATGATTTGACAATATTTCCTTTCTTACTGGTTATATACATCCCCTTATGTTACAGCCACCTATGTATGTTTTATGCACCAGGACCCTAATATGAATAAGTTAGTATTTAAAGATAATCAAAGACATTTTGTTGTCACGGGTTGTTGGCTGATGGTCGGTGGAAAGGTTTGCATTGAGCAGGGTGGGTCATGGACCAATAGTTTGAGAATCACTTATGTTAGATTCTAAAGGACTGGCCCAGGGTGCTCTTTTGGGTAAGATCTAAGGTATAAATTGACCTGGGAATGGAGTTGATCTTTTGAGGTTAGAAGAACATGCTCGGATTTGGTGAGATGGATTTTCATAACCTCTCCTATGTGTCAGGTGTGGTGCTGGTTATGGCACAGGAGAAGCTGGCGTTTCTAAGATAATTTCTTGTGTGTCTATTTACTGGCCAGTGTGACACAAAGAAATGCTCTTTGTGCCTTGTTTGACGTCTTACACTGGAGGATTCCCAGGCTTGAGCTGTAAGTAGCCCAGACTCTAAGCAATTCACCTGATTTGATCCTCAAAGCAATCCTGTTATATTACAATAGGGTCTCTCCTATTTGAGATCTCTAATGTGACAGAACGTGTGAGCACTGACTAAAGCTTTTTCTGTTCACACATCTGTCATGGTTCCCTCCTGCCAGATGTTCAATGAGATATCAGCTCTAATTGAATCTTTGCTTACAGTCAGAGCAGTTATAGGGATTCAGTCTTGTGTGAAATGTCTGATGTGCAATGGAGTGTAAATCAGTGGTCCCCAACCTTTTGAGGTTGTTGGGCACCAGAGGGCGTGGCCATTCACCCGTCGGGCGCCAGGGGGCGGGGACAATTGCGCGCCTGGGGGCGGCTCGCCCCCATAGCCGCATGCCCGGGGGCAGC